CAGCAGGACGCTCCAGCTTGGTACCAGTGCCAGGGCTGCCTCCCACCGGCCCTGAGACACTCTGGGACAAACCCCTTCCCCAGTCCCACACCACTGGCCTGTCGCACTTGGAGACCCCCTCGCCCCAGTCCTCCAGGAAGCCTGCTGGAGCTGAGTGCTGTCTCGTGACTGCCACTCAGCTGACCGATCAGCGCTCCACCCACCGGTTACGTCCCCGGAGCTTTGCAGGGCTCTGGGGCAAGGCCTGTGACGAGGGGCGGGGCATGGGGCAGGCTGAGCCCAGGTGGGCGGGGCGGGCAGATAGACTTCACCAGACTCCGCCTCCCCACATCCGCCTTTGGCCTGGCCCATCTGCCTCCGCCACCGTGTGTGCCCCTCAACCAGCTGGACCAACGGACCCACCCACGAGTGGACAGGACCCTGGAACGTGGCTGGCCTTTCCCCCTGTTGATACAGCACCGGGACGTAGGGGATACGCGCTGGGCTTCGTGCCGCCTTCAGGGTCTCAGGCTGCCTCCTCCCCATCCCAAGCATTTCCTCTTCCTCGTGCCTATCCCCTGCTCTCCCACCAGGGGTCGGGGTCCGGGAGCATGTGGGCCCTGACCTCTAGAATGCACTGCTGAATTGAGGCGGTGGGGAGGTAGCATGTGGGGGCCCTGGGTCGAGAAAAGTGGGAACTCCTGCACCCCAACCCAGATGAAGCATTTCAAGGGTCATCCTGTCACATGCCTCGCCAATTTGGAAGGCCGTTCCCCACCTGGGCCACGCCCATCACAGGTGGTCCAGCCTCCCTAGGCTACTGGGGTCAGGGTCAGGGTCAGGGTCCAAGGCCTGGGAGCTGCAGACTCCTAGTAGCAGAACTCCAGGCTGGTAGTCCAGGCCAGCAGCAGGGGTCCTGGGTACGCACACTTCTTGGGTCAGGGGTGTTGCAAACGCACTGGGCCAGAGGAAGGGGGAGCAGCAGGGGTACTGAGGAGACAGAAGCACTCAAGGGGACGTTCTCATGCCCTTTGTGCACAGCAAGGAGGCTGGGATCTTGTCCCCACAGCTCTGCCCACCTGACTGGCCCGTTACAAGGCTGCATATGGGTGCTGCCACAGGAAATTCAGAGATTCTGGACAAGGGCCCACATTTCACCACCAGGTTATGTGCACAAGCCTGCTGCATCCCTCCTGTGCAAACTCGCTGGAGCCCCCTTCCTGAAGAATTGGGCCACTGGGGCTTTCTTCCCACAAGCTAGTGGCAATGACGGCAGTCACCTGCCTCCTCACAAGTCTCAGAGCTCGGCGAGAGACAGACGACAGTTATTTCAAAAAACGCCTTTTAATTGTTCAAAATAGCACAAAACGACATCGCACTATGGTACTATGGAGTCCGGGGCTTCCTCTACAATAGATGGGACAGGTGTACGACTGGCAGAGACAAGAATCCAGGGTGCTCGAGCACAGGGGCAGGAGAACAGTGGGGGTGGGCGCCATGCGCCCAAGGTGACCAAGCAGTGACATTTCCCACAGAAAGATGTACTATAATACAATGCCCTGGGCTCCAGATGCGCTGGCAGAGGTGGGGGAGGCAGGGCCTGGCCTTTCAGGGTTGTAGAGGCTGAGATTTCCATTCATCCATGGAACCTGCTGGAGTCTTGCTCTTTGGCCAGGACTGGAGGTGGGGCGGAAGCTGACTCCTAGACCACTCCCCTGGGGCCCACAGCTCTGCCCCAACCTTACGAGAGGGCCATACCACACCTCTTTCCTGGCCCCCCCTTCACCCCACTTCCTCTTCTGACTACAAGGCTGTTGGGGAGGCAGTTACTCAGGGTTGCCTTCTGTGTCTGTTCTGGGCAGGCCCAGGCTTATTTTCTCTAAGAAACCTAACTGGCCCTGAAGACACCCCCACTCCTGAAAGATCACTGCCAAGATGATGCTTAGCCAAGGGGGGGAGGGGGAGTTCTGTACACAGCTAACAACAAAAAGACAAAAACCCCACACACTAAGGCTAAAAATTACAATAAAAACCTTAACTTCAATGTCAAATAAAAAAAAAATACAACAGATGCAGCAGTTGGTGATGTCACCCCTGCCCCGCGGCCACCTGCTGGCCCCACTGCGCCACGCAGCCTGGCTGCTGGCCCCTCTCCGCCTTACTCTTCCCTTTCTACCAGAGGGGAGAGGATGAACCAAGGCCTCGAAGATAAAGTCTAAGCTCTGCGCAAGCCTGAGGGAGGGACAAGAGTGAAGCAGGTGGCCAGCCAGAGGTAGGGTGGGCCTCCAGGAACAGCAGGAGGGGTGCGGCTGGGGCTGGGAGTGACGCCTGGGAAAGGAGAGGGAGGAAGGAGCGCTGCTTGCACGTGCCCACCGCTCTCACCTGGCCTCCAGCCACCTCCCCCAGGCAGTGGTGAAATGTGCTTTCTTTCCAGAGAACTTGTCTTAAAAACAGAGAGACAGAGCATGAACGAACAACTGAACGAGCACGCAAACAACTGAACGTGGCCAAGTGGGGACGAAGCGCCAACAGGGTGGGGTGGGCCAGGAGGCCCTGGCAGGCAGGCGGTGTTCCTGAAGCGGAGGGGTCTGGAGAAGACTCGGGCGGCCGCGCTCCACTCACTGCCCGTCTGCCTTCGATTTCTTTGGAGCGGATTTTCTTGGGGGGGCAAATAAAGGGGGGGAGGGGGAGAAGGGGTTACTGGCACGGCAGGTAATCTCAGTCCCTGAAGGTCCCAGAAGGGGGTTCCTGCTTACATTTCCGGAGAGGACATGGGCCGTTTGCTGGCTGGCTTGGCGCCAGAGCTGTCTTTGCTGGTTTCTGTAGGGCAGGAGCAAATAAAGAACAGGTGATCAAAGGGCTGTGCCCCACAGACCAGGACCCCAAATCCTAGCACCAGCACCAGCACTCCCGCCTACTGAGCATTCACTCCAGGACTGGAACAACAGACTTGGATGGACAGTGGTGTATACATGTGAGGACAGACTGATGGTGGCAAGTTCTGGTAAGGGGGGTGGGGGGGTGTTGGCTGTCAGCCCACAGGCACCACTCACCTTGTAGCCACCTGACTTGAGTGGCAGGGCCATAGCCCTTCTCGTTGCGGGCGGCGATGCGGAAGATGATGGCCGGTTTGGTGGTGTGGTCGATGTGGGCGTTGGAGAGGCTGGAGGACTGCACGAGGCAAGAGGGGCTGGGCCCGCAGTAGACGCGCATGAAGGCCAGCTGGGCTGGGGCTGCACTCTTGGGCTCACCACCGGCCTGCGTGCTCTGGATGGCCAGGTACACCGAGTACTCAATAATCTTCCCAGAAGTCACAGAGGGTGGCTCCCAGGTGAGGTGAGCCCCATCTGGGCTCTAGAAGCAAAGAAGTCAGGGGTTAAGGTCAGCTTCCTTTAACCTCTGTGACCAAGGGGGCCTGGGCTGCTTTGGTGGGAATGCTTGTGGCAAAGAGGAGGTGGGTAGACAGCATGGACTGGTGACAGCCCTCTCAGTACAAGGCCACTCACTTTGCTTATCTTAATGGCACAAGGAGCCCCCGGGAAGCCGGGCAAGCATGTCTTGAAGGCTGAGATCTCGCTGAAGGGTCCCCGGCCGCAGGCATTGACCCCTGCTACACGGAACTTATAGGCTGTGCCTGACTGCAGCTCCTGCTTCTTCAGCTGGGTGTAGTCAGGGATCGCGCTGGAGTCATCCTGGAAGAACAAACCAGTGCATAAAGCCTGTTGCCCAGGGGGAGCGCTGGGGACTGAGAAGGACGCACACAGAGAAGCCCCTTCCTTCCTCAGTTCCTCGAAGGGATCAAGGCCACCGGGCACCAGGATCCCTCTCTGGGCTTGTTCCCCAGGCACTTACTTCAGAAGGGACAGCGTCATCAGGGGGCAGAAAATAGTGTGTCACCATTACATTGGTGCCCTTAATGACTCCCACGTCAAACCACTGGTTCTCCTTTTTCACAGGGGCTTTGCTAGGCGGAGGAGGAAGATCGGGCTTCTGGAAGACAGTTTTAAAGACAGGATGAGACGCACATCCTCTGGCCTGGAGAGGGCTGCTCCTCAGCCCGCTGTACCTGACTCACCACCCCAATGGTTTCAATGCCGTTGGCTACTTCGGTCAGGGTGGCTGCTGCCTGCAGCTTCGCCGGGCTGGCAACCACCACCGGCTGTGGGGCCACGAATGTGTTAGATGGGGCCAGGCCTGTTGGGGGGGGTGTGTGTGTTAGAATTAAGGCCCCAACATCCAGGCCGAGCTAGCTACCCCCACCTCAGGCCAGTCCCAATGCTTTCCAAGCCAGGGGCCACTTACTCTCTGTGGCTGTTGGCGGCAGCAAGGCTGGGGTGCTGGGCACGGCAGCCGTCAGCTCATTGAGGCAGTTGCTCTCGATGGCAGGGTCATTGAGGCTGTCGGCGGGGGCTAGGGCCTCAGTTGGAAGGTGGTGCTGGGCCTGGGCCTGGGCCTGGGCCTGGGCCTCCTGTAGCTGCTGTTGTTGCACCAGCGCAGCCAGCTCTTGTTGCGTCAGCACGATAGGGATGGCGGTGGGTGGGCCCTCCTGGCCCTCGGGGGCCGCCGCCTCGGCTGTATCCATGGGCTCCCCAGTACCTGCTCCAGGGGGAAGGGACCTGCTCAGAAGGAGCCCAGATGCGACTGGCCCCTGTCCTGGTTGTCCCCAGCCCTCCCCACAAGGGGCCCTTTGGAACCACTCTGTCTGGCCTGGCCCCCCTGGCACCTACCCATGACGGCCTGCTGGGCAGCCTGCAGCACCGCCTGGATGGCCAGGGCCTGGGCTTCCTCAGTGGCTGCTGCCTGGGCAGCTGCCTCAGCTGCAGCTGTCACTGCAAGCTCCTCAGGGGTGAGCCCCGTCACCATCAGGGTGGTGGTGCCCGCCTGGGCCTCAGCCATCAGCTCTTGGGGCAGTGCCAACTGGTCTACCTCAGGCTGCGGGGGCGGGGGCGGCTGGACCACCACTGCGGCCACCACTGCAGGGCTGGCCGGCTCCTGGCCCGAAGGCGGGGCCCCTGTACTGCTCAAGTCCACGGCTGCCTGGAGCTCAGTGGCCTGGGCGTCGGCGGGCTCCCCAAGTTGCCGTGGGGGGAGCTGCTGGCGAGGCCCGGTTGAGACCTGGAGCTCCTCTGGGGGCTGCAGGATGTCAACAGCAGAGAAGGGCATGTCAGAAGTTTCGGTGTTGGCTATGGTCACTGTTATCGTGGCTGGGATGGGGGCTTCGGTGGCCAGAGCCCCAGGGGTGGTCTCAGTCATTGATGAGATCCTCTAGAAAGGGAGAGAAGTCCCCGTCAGAGGGGAGGGGAGGGGAAGGAAGGGCGGGAGGGCGGGTAGGTAGGCTGGGGAATGGGGCAGCCTTACTCTCCTGGGGGGAGCAGAGAAGAGTTTTTTGAGGCTGACTGGTTGGCAGACCCCCAGTGGGAACTCCTGTGGAAACGAAAGCGCCAGAGCGGTGCGCAGAGGATTTGCCTCACAGCCCCTAGGAGGCCAGGAGGCCTTTTATGGTCAGTATGGCAAGGGCCTGTGTGGGTGTGCAGCGCAAGAGTGACCCCTAGTGCCCAACTCTGGAACCGTAGCAAGTCAGCCCAGGGGCTGAAGGACAGAACCAACCCCAGGGCTCTCACCGGCACAGAGGGGCCCGGGACCGGTGTGGACTGCGTCACGGTGGTCACTGCTCGTGTCAGCGTGGAGGACACTGTGGTCGTGACGGCACTAGAGCTGGCGACGGTCCCGCTGTCACCCTGGGTGCTCTCCACTTCGCCCTGATCGCTGGCGGCTGGTGGAGGGTCTGGGGGGCAGGGACAACAGCCAGTTGAGTCACAAGGGCCTCCTGTAGTAGGCCAGAAAGGGCTCCCCAGCCTAAATTACAGGCCCACCTATTGGCCACGGTTTCCTTCCACAGCAGAAGCTGCTGGCAAAAGGGGGTGGGGGGCGGGGACAACAGACTCACCTTGGTTTGAGCTCATATTGGAGGTGACGGTGGTGGCCGTGTGCGTGGTGCCCGTCTCATGGGTCTCACAAGGTGGGTTGGAGCAGACCCGCTGGGTGGGAAAAGGTGCCTGAAGTGTGGGGCCAGCCTGGGAAGCTCCAGGGCTTGGGGCCCCCATCGAATCCAAGCCAGCCTCCAAGGCCCGGTGGGCAGAGCTGTCATCAGGGTGCAGGCTGCCGACGCTGATAGTCATGGTGGTGCCAGTGGTGGTGGTCTGGTGTGTCTCGCAGGGGCGGCTGGTGGTGGTTTGTAGTTGCCCACCATCAGGCTGGCCCGAGCCACTGGTGGCGGTGGCAGTGGTGGCCGTGTGCGTGGTGCCGGTCTCGTGGGTCTCACAGGGCGGGTTGGAGCAGGCCCGCTGGGCACCCCCTGCATTTGAGGTGGTGGCGGTATTGGTAGTCCCTGTCTCGTGGGTCTCGCAGGGCGGGTTGGAGCAGACCTGCGGCACAGTCATGATGGTGCCTGTTGACTGGGTCTGGTGGCTCTCGCATGCAGGCTTAGGGGTGCCCTGGGTCTCACCAGGATCCCCGGTACCCATGGCAGAGCGGACCGTGGTCGGGGTGTTGGTGGTGTGGGTGTGTTGCGTCTCCAGCTGGCGACCCAGGGGCACCTGTTGGCCCAGGCCTGTTAGGGAGCTGTCCTTGCAGCTGACGGCGCTGGGCCCGGCTCTGCCACTCAAAGGGGCCAACTGGGCGAAGCCGGGGCCACTGACAGTCTCCAGCCCATGGCCGGACGGTGGCAGCGGGGCTGAGCAAGGCGCACCAGGGGCCAGCACAGTCATGGTGGTGCGGGTCGAGCTGGTCTGGCGGGTCTGGCATGGGGTGCTTGCTGCACAGGGTGTGGGGACCTCGCCCTGCTGGTGGGCAGCTAACAGCTGTGCGGAGCCCATGGTGGTCATGGCGGTGGTGGTTGTCTCGTGGGTTTCGCAGGGTGGGCTAGAGCACTCGGGTTGCCCAGGCATGCGGGACGTGGCGGTGGTGGCTGTGCTGGTGGTGCCCGTCTCGTGGGTCTCACAGGGAGGGTTGGAACAGACGGTGGGCTGTGCGGCCCGCGGGGGGCCTGACAGGTTGGCACTGACCACCGTGGCTGTGCTGGTGGTGCCAGTCTCGTGGGTCTCACAGGGTGGGTTGGAGCAGACGCGGACCACGTTGCCATTCTGCTGCCCCACTGAGGAGGCCACAAGCGAGGCCGCTGCCTCTTGCCTTTCGCAGACGAACTGGACTTGGGGGGGCTGGACATGCCCTCCGAGATTGGCCACGACAGTAGTGGTGGCTGTGTTTGTGGTGCCCGTCTCATGAGTCTCACAGGGTGGGTTGGAGCAGACCAGCGTCACAGTACCGGGCTGCACATCGCCCTGGCCCGAGTCAGCAATGGTCACAGTAGCTGTGGGCTGCTCAGTGGTAGGTGAAGCCAGGATAGATACGGGCAAGTCATGCACTGGCTGGGCCTCGACCCCGCTGGGCGCTGTGATCAGTGTCACCTGGGTGGGCTGGGAGACAGGCTGCAGGGAGAGGCAGGGAGGGAAAGACCGGTGACGTCACTTTCTACCCACCTGTCGCCCATCCCAGCCCCAGCTGCTCCCACCACCCCAAAGGCACAGCCCCAGGTAAAGGTCACTGGGTCCAGGATTAGGCCGCCTAACAAGATACGCAGCTAGTTCTGCCTCCAGCATCCCACCGTAGCCCTGCCCTGCCGGCCTCCTACCTGCATGGTGATGGTTGGTGTGGTGAGCCCACCAGCGGCAGTCAGCGTAGTCTGAGCAGCGGAGACGGTGATGGCCGTGGGATTGATCACCTGGCTTGAGAGGGTGGCGATGGTCCCCAAAGTGGTGATAGGCGTGGCCAGTGAGGCGTTGGTGCTATGACCGCCAGCACCAGCCAGGCTGGTAGAGACAGTGCCTGTCACAGTGCCCAAGGTGGTGACGCCTAGAGGGGAGAGCCAGCGAGGCGGACGGTAGTCGTGTGTTCTCTTCAGCCCCGCAGCTGCTGCTACCTTTCCAGAAGCCTCTCTCGCTGACAGGCGGGGGCGGGCTCCGGCCTCGCAAGACGGAGGCAGGGACCAAAGCGGATGACCGGGGCTGGGAGCACCCCCACTGCTGAGGGCAGGCCTAGCAGGCAACATACCTGTAGTGCCCTTCACAACCAATGTGGTGACAGCAGGCTTGACGGCAGAGACGGTAACTGGAGTGACCAAGCGCATGCCACCCATGGGCACCGTGCGAAGGATGGTGCCTGGCTGTCCGGGGGCCCCCTTCAGCACCACCTGGACACCAGAAGACCCACCAACATCACTCACAGCAGCCCCCCGGGTCCTGCACAGAGCACCTGGGCCCTGGGGGAGGCGAGGCTGCAAATGCGCTGGGCAGAGATGAGGGCAGACCTGCCTCACCTGGGTCACTCCTTGCTGCCCATGGCCAGTGGCAATCTTAGGGACAGCCGTGATGATCTTGGCCGGGGCTCCAGTTCCTGATGTCATAACTTTGGTGGTGATAATGGTGATAGGGGATTTGATGCCCGGACTGCTGGTCACACCTGGTGGGAAGGACAGCTTGCCTTCAGGCCCTGCCAGCTTCCTATCTCCCCAGGAGCCCAAGCCCTGCAGACAGAGGGCGCCGCCTCCTGGTCTGGCCGCCTGAGGCCTACCGGTGGCGCCCGCCTGGGTAATGATGGCCGACATGGGGATGGTCTTGATGATAGTGGTGGTGCCGGGCTTGGTGGTGCTGGGCGAGACGCTGCTGATACCCAGGATGGTCGGCTTACTGCCTGCCCCACTGGCCTGTGTGGTGGTGATGATGGTGGTGGGCTTGCCGTCGGCTGAAGTCACCAGCTTCAGAATGGTCCCGGCTGGCAGGGGGCCTTTGGTCTGGATGATCTGTGTCACTGGGCCAGTTGAGGCCTGGCCCGTTACGGCGGATGTCTGCACGGGCTTGGTCTGCACAACAGACATGACTTTGCCGAGGTTGGAGATCTACACAGCAAAGGGAAGAGCCAAATCATTGGGAGGGCCTACACGGCCCTGGCCCACAGTCCCAGCCAGCCTGCAACTCACCAGAGCACTGCCTCCGGGAACCGAGATGGGGCTCTTCACCAAAGTGATGGTCTTGGTCACGCCACCCACCACAGTGGTCACCACCTGGGCTTGCTGTGCCACGGTGACTGTCCCGGATTTGTGCACAGTGATGATAGGTCGAGTGGACGTGTTGGCAGCCGAGGACACGGATGTCCCCACCTGGGCGGCAGCAGTCTTCAGCATGCGGGTGGCAGGGTTGCTCACCTAGGGACAGAGGGGAGTGGACAGCAATGTGAGGCAAACCAAGCTGTGGGGTCATTGCTGCTCTCTCCCTGTCCCCTCGAGAAGACCAGCCTGCCAAACCGACCAGAGGCAGCAAGACCACTCACCATGACGGGTGAGGAGGCCACCTTCACCGTGGCTGGCAGGGTGGTGGTGCCGGGAGTCACAGCCACAGTTTTCACGATGGTAGTGCCGGCAGGCACACTAAGCACGGTGGGTGCTGAGGAGGGCGGGATCTTCTGGGTGGCCGCTGCTGCGGCTGCCAGCGCTGCCATTCCGCTCATCTGTGGGTTGCTGCCAATCACCTGTGTGCAGAAGGCAGAGGCCATCAGCCCTATGGGGAAGCCAGGGGCACGTCTGCCCACACCTGCAGGCATGCCCCCCTGGCTTTCTGACCCTGCTCTCCTGTCCCCAACCAGGGACCTCACACCGACCATACACAGGAACCCCAACACCCGAGTCTGGCTTCTCCCCTCACGAGGCCCACTCCATCCCGCCTGCTGCTCACCGTGCCCTGGGCACTCTGTGTGGGCACGACCATTCGCACCCCCGCAGGCAGGGAGGTCACAGTGACAGGAGCTTTCCCAGCCTGACTGGCAGGGCGCATAGTGACCAGGGGGGTTCCTGTGGTAGCCTGAGGCCCGGTGACTTTGAGCACAGCAGGGACACCTGGCGAGAGAAGGGAGCGGGTGTCAGCAGAGCCCGGGGGACACAGCAGGGTGGCTGTGCTTTCTGGCTGGTTCTTTGCTGTGGGCAGGGCTGAGATTGCCACTGAGGTTCTGGCAGACCCCGCTCCCCAGGCAGGCACCCATCCCCCGTGCCCCAGCCCCCATTTACCTTGTGTCCTTGTTGCAGTGGGCACCGAGATGGAGCTGCCTGGCACTGTTGGCAAGACCTGGATCGTGGTGGTGGTCGGGGGTGCGGTGGCAGCTGGGGGCAGAAGTGTGATGCCCACCTGGGTCAGGGGCTGCACAGCCGGAGCCGCTGCTGCAGGTGCAGGACTCTTGGGAGGATTGGCAGGCGCCGACGGGACCGGGTTGGGGGTAGAAGAGGTGACAGTGGCAGCACTGGCAGGAATGTCATACTTCTGGAGCTGCAGGAGGTAACTGTCGGCTGTGGCCACGGCCCCCCAGCTGACCTCCAGGGAAGTGGTGTTGGCGCGCACCAGCTGCACCCGGGAGGGCGGTGGCGGCTTTTCTGTAAGAGAACTCAGCTGGTGAGGAATAGGGCAGCAGCCTGGGGCCACCAGAGGGTCCTGTCACAGCAAGGCCTCACCTGTTTCCAAGTACCAGAGATCCTTGCAGCAAACCTGGTTGTTCCAGGCTTTCCGGTAGCCGTCCCGCCCGCTCCAGATGTACAGGCGGGTGTTGATGGCGACGGCACAGTGCCCAGCTCGAGCCCGAGGGATATTGTCCTCCAGTGTGTCCATTAGGATGGTCTCCCAGGCCATGGTGTCTGGGGGGAAAAGGAACAGCAAACCGGAAGGGGTCACAAGGAGAGTGGATGAAGAAGTGTTTTCCGAGTCTCCAGGGTCCCTTTGGCGACTGCCTCAGAAAGACAGGAGGCGGAGGCAGGGACTCTTGTGCCTGAAAAGGCTAGCCCACCAAAGGGGGGTGCTGTCTGTGAGGGGGCCCTCTCCCAGAGGAAGCTATACCCAGGTTGAGACAGGCCAGCGTGTTGGTGCACTTCCATTCCTTCTCGTGTGTGGCCACTTTGACATCATCCATGACGAGAGGCACCCAGCCTCCGAACACGTACATCCTAGGGGGAGGGGCAGTGAGGAAGGACAGACCAAACTACAATTGACATGGGCAGGCGCCAGTGGCCAGGAAGTCCCCTGTTATCATGCCCCCCACCCCTGGAGCCTCATTGATGGGGCCTCTCCTGCTTGGTGCTCAGGCCACACCTGAATTTCATCACCTAGACAAGGGACAAGCCCTGGGGTTCTTCACTGTCACCTACCTATCCCCTCAGGCCCCTAGAGCAGGCACACTGGCTGCTTGCAGAAAATCGAGGCTTCACCCACCGCTTGCCCTCCCCACCCCCGGGGGCCCTCCAGGTGGAAGCGAGAGGGAAGCACTCACTTATTTCCAATGGTCGTGGCTGAGTGAAGACTGCGAGGCAACGGTGCCACGCCGCTGAGGCTGGGCTTGTTCCATGTCAGTGTGTCTGCACAGACCAAGGGAAGGGGGAATCACCACCAGGGGAGCAGACCTGGAGGGGCCCCCGGCTGCCCCACAGCTCACAGCTGTTACCATCCTGTTGCAATCCTGTCTCCCCAACTTTTGGGACCTCCTCAAAAGTGTTGGCCCCCACTCGAGCCAGATGCTGGGACTCCGGCCCGAAGCCTGGAGAGCAGCCTTGTCGACGGGCACTCACCTCTCCCATGCCCTTCTGTGGCCAGCAGACCACACTGCTCGGCCCGCTGAGAGCCCTGTTCGGCCCAGCTGGTGCTGCCGCCAAGGGAGGGCGGGGCAGGCGCTAGCTTGGGTGAAGTGGAAGACAGTCCATGAGAGAGGAGAAATGGAAACAAAGGAGCCTTGGTGCCCCTCTGTGCGTGGGAGAAAAATGAGGCTCTCTAGTCTCACCAAGCGTTCGTCTGGGAGCAGTTAGGAACAATTCTGCCCTCCTCCGTGGCTTGAGGGAGGTGACTGAGCAGGGTGGGGTGGGGGGGGAAAGCTCGGTACCAAAAGCCCAGGGTGAAGGCAGGACGAGCTAAGGAGGCCGGCTCAGTGCAATGGATTGCCATTATGTCCCCCCCATACATGGATTGTAAACCCAAACCCTAACCGTCACACTGTGCTTGCAGAAGCCCTGGTGGGGTCGTGCATTAGGCATTGAGCTGCGACCCTTCAAAATCAGCAACTCGAACCCACCAGTAACTTCTCAGGAGAAAAGGGGAGGGGGGGCAGTGTCTACTCTGTCATGTATGCTCCCGGGATTGGAATTGCCTACATAGCAGTGAGTTGGCTTTATGTTTCCAGTTACGATCGCAAATGGTTTATTACGTCCATGAGGCAGGGTTAGTGTAGGCCGTATCTTGAGTCAGTCTCTTTTGAACTATAAGAGATGAAACAATTTAACAGAGAGAAACTGGCTGAGAGATGCCAAGACACATGGAGATCCAGAGAGAAACAGCGCAAGTGCACGCACGCCTCCACCTGCCCCTGCAGCCCACGCTCCAAATGGGCTGTCAGCGCAGTGATAGACTCCTAAGGTAATCGAGGCAGCAGGGCACGAACAGCCAGCTCCTTACCAATATCAAGGGTCCAGAGGTCCCCCAGCCTGCAGCCACTCATCCCTCCATAGATGACCAGCTTGGATTTCTTACTGTCTTTCTCAGTGTAGACCACAGCAGTATGGGACTCTCGTGGTGGGGGCAGAACCCCGTAAGTGATGGGGATGTCCCAGGCCACCACACCGGAGCCTGGCCGTAATTCCAGGATGTACAGGTCATTCAGGTACCTAACAAAAAGGAAGACCAGTTCTAGCAAGCTGGCTTCCACTCAGGGGCCCCAAGGTGCACTAAGCCAAGCCTCTATATGAGCACCAGGTTCCTCTGCCCTTGCCCTGAGAAAGGGGTTGACAGGAGACCCCTGCCCCCCAAGGTAAAGAGTGAGTCCAAGAGAAAGGAAGAAGGTGGGAAATGTGGTAGCTGCCCTGTACACAAAGCTGGGCCTTCCCAGAGTGTGAGGAGTGTCATTAGGGGCTTGGAGGAGGAAAAACAGCTTGCTTCCTGGGTTTCCAGTGGGTGAAGGCTTTCAGGCCAAGAAAGCACTTCAGATGACATGCCACACACTCCCCTCATTTTACAGAGAGAGAGAGAGAGAGAGAGAAACTGGCCAAGGTGGAGCTGATCAGTAGGCCCCTTTCATGACTCCGCCCCCTCCTGGTCAGTGTCCACACCTCCTTCCCACCACATGGTGCCTAAGGAAAAACCTCACCTTGGAATGTTGTTCTTAGGGTCCTCGCTATCGTTGGCCAGACCTCCAAACAGGTAACACTTATTGCCCACAAGGGAGAAGCTGTGGCCAAGCCGAGGACAGGGAGGGGGTCCATTTTTGGGGGTCTTTGCTTTGAGTCTCTTCCACTCCCAGCGACTGGCCTGCAAAAGGGACATGGATAAGTCAAAGCCATGCAGGCTGCCTTTGAGGTTCCGATCACCGTGTACAAGGAGCCGCTCTGCCTCCTCTACCCCATCTCAAATGCTTAGAAGCCATCTGAAGGAACTCAGCCACACAAACCCAGGGCTGGGGAAGCCTGGTCCCATGTCTACTGGGACCCCTGTTGGTGCCTGTGGGGCTGGGCCTGGCCTTACCTGGAGCTCATAGAGGTCGTTGCTGTATTTTCCATATTCCACCATTCCACCAAACACCAGTAGGCGGGTCCCGTCACACACAAAGCCATAGGCTGCACACCCAGGGGGAATGTCCCCCCTCACTGCAGGAATGAACCACTGGTTGGTAGCTAGGAGAGGAGAAGCAGAAGTCAGGTCAGAGCTGAGAAGCCCTCTCGCCGCCCTCTACCCAGAGTTCACTGCCACCCCACACAGCCTGGGAACACCCTGCTCCTCAGTCAAGGCTATCTGATCAGGCAGGACAGCCGGACCCAGGGAACTCACCTGCTGATTTCCTACCCCAGCCCGGCAGCACCCAGCAACCAGTACCCCACCCCAGGTTGCCTGAGGGGACTGGAGGGGTGGTGATAGATCTTTGCTCTAACCTCCTCAGCCTAAGGCCACATCTCCTAGGTGATGAGTCCCAGCTCATTGGTAATGCCACTGCCCCTTCCCCTCTGCCACTCTAGAACGTTCTTGCAAGTCAGAGGTGGCTGCAGTAGCAGGAGTGTGAACTTCCATGAACCACACCACCTCTGCCAGCCACAGACTTCCCCAAAGCCCCTCAGGGGAGCCCACAAAGAAGGTGAACCCCACTCTGTGACTAGTCAGTACACAGGTGCCAATGGCAGCCAGCGCCCATTCCCCAGTTCCCTGGAGAGAAATCGTAGAGGATTCCTCCCTCGCTTCACAAGGCTGACTGGCACAGCCCACTGTCACTTTGGTTCCAGAGGATTGTGGGAAGGTTCTGGGTCAAGAGTTGTGTCTGGGGAGGCCGGAGAGGTCCCACAGGCTTCTCTCCAACACTCAACTTGTCAGGCAGCATATTTCATAGGCTATGGCTGCACTTGGGGTGGGACACTTGACTGGGGACAGGTGACATTGCTCTTTGGCCTTGTCTTTCATTTGTGATGGATGTGGGGAATGAAGCTGTCCACAGTAACTAACACACACACACACACCCCGCCAAAATCCTGGGTAACCCAGGCCCTGTGATGCCACCCACTTGGGTGTAGTGTAGTGTGGTATGCATTGGGCTGCTAACCACAAGGCTGGCAGTTTGAAACCATCAGCTACTTGGCAGGACAAAGATGAGGTTACCAGTCTCATTAACCCCCAGGTGTAGGTCTACTCTGCCCTACGGAGTCGCTGTGAGTCGGGATCAGCTGGGTAGCCAGCAATTTGGGGTTTCTTGGATGCTCCTGGCGAAGAACAACAGCTCTTCTTAGATGGCTCCCAGGAGGCGCCCCCCCACCCCCACCAGGCAGGGGCATTCCATGGGCTCTTCAGAGGATCTGCCATTTGGCAGTCACTAGGATGCCAGGAGGCCTGGCCATTGTCCTACAGTCCCAGGGTTGGCCTATACCCTGCTCCCTCATCTAGGAGGGACCGTTTATTCCTTGGGTCACAGAAGCACCTCTGCGTGATGGCCATCAGGCAGGGTTAGGGGTACCGACTGGAGAAGAACCCTGGCAGGCAAACCATTTTCTGGTGTGAAGCCAGGCTGGCCCCCGAAATAGCATGGCCTTGCCTGCACCAGCTCCCCCCAGGGCAGCTGTCCTCGGCAGCCCGCCCTCGGGTGTCGGGTGACCCAGCCCAGGGTTCCTCAGCTTGGAGGTGAACTTGGGGAAGGGAGGCCATCTGGGGATGGGCAGTGGGGGGCCAGGAGGCCTTGGGCAGACCAGGCCACACCTGCAGCTCCCTCTTCTCGCTAGGCTAGCACCCACAGAGAGTGGGCAGTTGTCAGGTGACACAGGCAACGACCAGGCCCTGTGCCCCCGGCAGGTGATTCCCATACTTGGGGGGGGGGGGGGGGAGCAAGGCGGGCACAGGGAGTGCTCTGGGTGGGGAAGGTAGGGGAGGAGCAAGACGCACAGCAGCCTGGGGTCCTCTGGCCTGCCCCCCTTCTTCAGGGCTGTGGCACAAAGATCCCAGTTAGATATCTGGGCACTTGACTTAAAACTGCTAGACAGATCCCACCAGCATTTCCAAGAATGCCCTTCCATCTCACTCCTGGGGACAGATACCACGCCGACAAGGTGGCAACCATTCCAGCACTGCTTTGGCCCTCCTGCTGAGGAGATCCTTGGGAACCCAGAGAAGGTGGTAATGCTGGAAGGTGACTGAGAAGAGGTGACTATGAGGGTCAGGAAACGAGGGCCTGAGGTCAGGGCCTAAGGCAGCCAACATGAGAGCCGAGGAAAAAGATCTCCACTCCGATGGCCCAGGGCTCCTCATCAGTCACAGTCAAGGAAGCGGGAACAGAGCGGACTTGGAAAATTTAGGGGTGAGGTAGAGCAGTAACAGGAAGCCTTTGAGGGAGTTGAGCAGCACACACTCAAAGCCAAGTCGTGGCCTGCCATCTTCAGCAGGGCAATGCCGTTTCTGACTGGGGAGCTCAAGAAATTTCATTGCTACCGCCAACACCTTTGCTGCCCTTGTTTCTAGGAGGGAGATGAAGTGTCTGGTCGAGTGCCAAACTGCTCTTTTTTACCATTCAGGCTATTGCCCTAGTTCATGCACGTTTTACAAAGTCCAGTCTGTCTGCTCCTTTCACTTTGTGGTCCCTAAATGACTGGGAAGAAATGGTTCAAAAGCCCAAGTGGCAGGGTGACCCTGGAGCTGCCACTTCCCCTCATGAACCCCAATTTCCCCATCTTCAAAACACGAGGAAGTTCCACTAGATGTTTTCCAAGGTTCCTTTCAGCCAATACCATGGGATGGAAGTCAAGGAAGCAGAAGCAAGAGCAGCTGCAGAAAGCCCAGGCCCCTGAGTGACCAGCTCTGAGGGGGGACAGAAGCTCAATTAAGGCCATCCAAGTGTCCTACATGTGATCAAACGGGGGGAGGACACAAGCTCTCAAGCACACCCCGGCCCCACTGCCCACCCCCTCCACCAGCAATCCCTCATGATCCCTAGATGGCCGCCAGTGAGGAGGCGAGGCCCACACACACATCCCATGCACACAGCCCATGGGGCTTTATCTCTTAGCAACAGGGCTGCCGAAGCTCCAATGTCCCCACACAAGCAGGAGTGGGTTTTCGGACTAATCCTGCAGATGGAAGAGGGCGCAGGCAGCGGCTAAGGAGCATCTGGCTGACCGCATTACAGCGGGGACTGGGGGGGTGGGGGGGGAAGCTGAGCTCCCTGGCAGGGAGGGCTGCTGTGTCCGGAGGAGCAAACACTGACTACCTGGCCCAGCCACACCCCACCACTCCCGAACTGAGGCCCCCAGACCTCGGGCTGAGTGTGCCAGACACTGTCCGACAAGCCTCCCGCAGGTGCAGGCAACCCAGCCGCTGGCCAGCTCCAGGGTGGTGATGTGCACACCTCTCTGAGCACCCGCTGGGGTCTGGTGGGGAGGCTCCAGGAGCTGGTGAATTGGGCCCTGCCCTACTTTCTAGAATTGTACTTCCCAGCCATGGAGCCTGCACCGGGCCTTCCCGGAGGAAAATCGGTCCAAGTTGAGAAGTCACTACTCCTGTCCAGGGCATCTTCCAAGACAGACCTAATGCTGCCCCTCCGCTCTCCTCCCACCTGCCCCCTCCCCTGGCTGGGGCCCAAACCGCCAACCACCCTGCACCCCCAGTCTCCCGCCTGCTGGAGGCAACAGGTGCTGACTGCACAGGGTCACCACCAGCCTGGGGATGAGCACTGAGGGTAGGCCTGGCCAAGGGACTGGCCCAGGTGGCTCTCCCTACCCTGGGGTGGGGGGCTGGCTGCCAGTCCTGGCTCTGGTCCTCAGGGATCCAGCAGGCCCCCTGCAAAACCTTGGCAGAGGAGGGGCATGGAGCAAAAAGGAGTTTGTTCGCTCAAGGTGATGGCCGGCAAAGGGAAGGAGCTAGAAGGTGACCCTGGGTTACCACTGCCCCCAGCTTCCTAAGAGACAGTGGCAGCGTGTCACCAGGAAACAGAGAAGTCCCCTTGGCCCAGCGGGGGTGGTGGTGGTGAAGATGGGTCGAAACTGTGGTGACAACAGTTGGCCTTGTGCCCTAGAGACCTAGGGAGACTGGTCCTAGCAGCAGCTCTTCCCGCCGGCCAGAGGGCGGAAGTCAGGCTGGCCAAGGGGGTGGGGGTGGGAGCGCATGTTGCCCCCTTTTCTTGGAGGCTGACAATGAGGTCTGGCACCCCGCCACCCAGGTTGCCTGAGCAGGCACCGCGGGCAGAGTTGGGGCAGCAGGCACACAGCAATCTCCCAGGCCCACACCAATGGCCGACCCCCTCACCCGCAACCCACCCGAGTCCGCGAGCGGGAAGCCGTGCTCAGACGGGGGAGGCAAAGAGAGAGAGGACGTGGATAGCGAGCTGCGCAGGGAGCGGAGCGGGGGAAAGTGGAGGAGAAGACTGCAGCCCGGGGCGGGGGGGGGGCGGAGAGGGGAGGCAGGTGGGGAAGAAGGGAGAAAGGAGTTGGAAGGAGGGGGGATGGGAAAGGGCGAGCGAGCGAGGGAAAGAGGGGAAAGGAAAATGAGGGGGGAGGAGGAAGAGGTGGGAGAAGAGGGAACGAGAAAAAGGAGGGAGGAGGGGGGGAAAGAGGGAGAAGGCGCGGAGAGGGGGAGCCGGTGGAGGGCGAAGCAAAGGGGGGCGTCGGCGGTGGCAGGGGGGCGCGCGGCGTAGGCGGCGGGCTGTGCGCTCACCAGTGTTGTACACGTGCAGTTCGTCCACGATTCCCTCGTTGCCGCCGCCGAACACCACGATAAGCTCCTTGATGGCCACGGCGCGATGGCCGTGGCGGGGACGGGGCACCGGACCCGACCAGCCCACCACTCGCTTCCAGCGAGGCTGCAGGAGCACCGCTGGCAAGTTAGCGGGCGACACGGCTGAAGCCATAATTCCGTCAGAGAGCACAGTGGAATAAAGTCTTCAAGCGGGAAGCGGGAGGGGGGGGTTGCTCTCACACACCCCCTTTGGTCTAAGCCAGTTCTCACGGAGCAGCGGTTTTTCACACAGCGGCGGACTCCATGGAGGCCGCCATCTTAACTATCCTCCTTCCCTCCGGCTCTTCCCGTTCTTCTCGCTCACCTCGTCTCCTCACACACCTCTCGGAACAGGCGAGCGTCTAAGCCTAAGCAGCTGGAAGCGGCCGAGTCCCGCCGCCCTGACAACTTGCCCGGGCGCTCCCCCTCACAGGCTCGGGCAGGAGGCCCTGGGAGCAGCCATCTTGAGCCGCCTCTCTCTCCTCCCTTCCTCAGTCGTAGCCCTCCCCCGCCGGAAATGGCGGAGCCCCGGCCCGGTTCCCACACTCCTCCCCCCCCCTTCAAGTCCCGGCTTCCGGGGCGGGTGGAAAGGCGCCACAAGCGCCGCGGTTGTCTCAGCCCTGCCGGCGCTCAGACCACAATTGTGGGAGCCGCCATCTTGAGCCTGTGCCGATTCCCCGCCCAGCGCTCAGTGCAACCGCTGCTCCCGTAGCAGCCTCAACACTCCTGAAAGAATGGAGGCGTGCCGGAGGCGGTTGGGACGAACTTGAACCCTCGGAGGCTGCTTAAGGGTTCGCTCTGCACGGATCGTGAGGTCTCGTACCTCTCCCGAGTCCGGCTCTGCTGCTCAAGCTGCGCCTGCCGCTGTGGGAGCCGCCATCTTGAGACTAACTCCCCCTTCCCCCGATTCCCTTCCTCCTGGCTCCGTACTTCCACTGCCAACCAAATGCAAAGCAACGTCCAATCCTCACTTTCCTCCTTATGAATCCTCCCTACAGAGTCCGCTCCAAAGGCTAGAGTTAGGCCCCGAAGTGGCAACTGTACGGCAGGAGGAGCGGTAACGGCAGGGTGCTCATGCCTCCTCCCTGGGAGCCGCCATCTTGTGTGAAGAAGTAACAACTAAACATGGCGGCGGCGGTCGGGCGAGAGGGCGGAGTCTGGTGACATCATCTCCCCCCACCCCCGCTTTCGTTCTGCTTCGGCTCGGAGTCGAAGCTTCAACAGGTTCCCCCGGTATAGATTCCCGGCGGGGGGCCGGATCTGCGGCCCCGCTCGGGTGCACTCGGGCCGTATTCGGGTTAGGCGTAGCCGCGCCCTGTCTCTCCACCCCCAAAAACTCGGTTCCACGCCTCCGCCCTGGGAGCCGCCATCTTGCCACTTCCACACGCCCGGCCTTCTGTAGGCGTCATTAGCGACTTTCAGCACAAAACAAAGATGGCGGTGGCATCTGGATAATGCCCGGATGAAAATGCTAAACCCTGAGATTGGCTGTGCCCCGCCCCCCTGGGAACTGACCCCCGGGTCGCTGGAGGGCTAGAGACCTAAGGTGTTTCCTTCTACTAGCTTTGACAACCGGGGCACGGTTTGTTGCAGGTGGCCGGAAGAGCAATCGGGACAGGCAGTTTCCCGCTCTAAACAGCCAGCGGCCCCAGGCGAGCAGGCGGGAGGCTTGGCGTGGGGAGTGGCCGGGGGCGGGGCGGAGCTTTCCGGCTCCCAGGCCTGATAGCCCCACCCCCGAGCTCAGTTTACGCCGCCCGGGTCTAAACAAAGGCGGGCGGGCAGACTCCGGGGCTAGGGACAGCCCAAGCGACGGGCCGCCCTCAGTCCCGCCGGCTGCAGGGTGGACAGCCAGACCCGAGGCGCGGGGAGCGCAGCCCGTTCCCGTTACTCAGGCGGGCGCGGGATCGCTCCGCGTCACCCTGCGTCAGCCCGCGTCATCCCGCTTTCTTCCCAGAGCCGCCCCCCCCCCGCCCCCAGGCGCATGCGTACAGCTGCTTTTCGGGTCCGCCCTTTTGCACGATTTGAATTTCCCCTAACCCCCAACGAGAGGGGCAAAATACCCGGATGGTGCTCTCTAGCGTTTTCGCGCCAATATTGTAACCTCACCACAACTTGACGGCGAGGTGGGTACTGCGATCGCCCCTGTGTCACAAGCCTCCTGAAGGCTGACGACCCAGGAGGTCACATCATTATCCCAACTTTCAGGACGCTCGCTGTAGACCCGGACCCTTGAGCCGGGCACAGATCTTCACCCTCCCCTCGCTTTATTCTTGCGTCTGTTACACTTTCTTTTCACCAACCTCTCCCTGAAGGCAGCATTTCCGGCTTTTGCACTTGTCTCCAAGAGAAATCAGAGATGGCCTCCTATCTTCTTGCTTTTCCTGTAGCTGCCTTGACTTTACTCACCACTAAGAAATTACTGAAGTAATTACACCTGCCTGTGGACTCTACTCATTTATCACGGACATAAAAATCACACATTTCCAAGAACATTTCAATGACTGCCTTTCAACATTATGAATATTTTGTAAGGTACACGTTTTATTTTGTGCATTTGCAAATAATACACACTTGAGAATGGGTCAGAGGTAGGGTGCATTCCCTACCCTTGGTGTGTCACCAGCTGCTTGGTGTGACTGGACACATCACCTCACCCCTGTAAAATAGGGGTGCTCGTGGAGGTGGCTTTCAAGGGTCTTGTGCCACCAGGCTGGCAATTGTGGGAATCCTCTGGCAATTGAGGGGGGTGGTGATGGAGGAGACTTGTCCTGGGGCTCAGGTGTGGACTCTGCCCTAGCATTCTGCCCCACCAGCACTTTCTCCAACTCCTGTCCCTCCCCATTGCTTCCCCGGAAGATGAGGGTCAGGGACTTAAGCTGGCACGGGTCAAAATGGAATGAGGAAGTGCCCCTGACCCCAGACCAAGAGGAAATGTCAGCCCCAGGAGTAGGGAAGCAGCTCTCCTCTGTGGTGACTGGGGCAGGAGCCCGGCAGGACAGGACTACTTATCTCTGCTTGACAAGGCGTTAGTTTGAAAGGGCTTTAGGGCTGGCCTGGACACTCCCCTATTCCTAACACCTTTGAGCCGTTCTGAGTAGTGACCTGCCAGGATGGCCTTTACCTTCAAGGGTCACCAGCTGCCTAGGGCTGATTCCCAGGAGGCCGAGGCAGTCAGTGTCTCCTCCCACTCCACGTGCTTTTGTTTTGTTTTTCCCAGATCCTGACACTTCCCATTGCCCAGGGCACTCTGTAGATTCCATCACCCCTGTCACTGGCCAAAGAGAAGTCCCAGATTAGTCTCAGGAGGATGGCAGTAGTAGCTTACAAATCAGGGTCAGGAAGCCTGGGCAAATTCTAGAGGGTTCCCCCCCCCAAGCGGAGAGCACATTACTCCCTTTTTCCAAGCTGGAAAGCCCCCCCCCCTCCCTGCTTCCTCACAGCACTACTGTCCCTGCCTTCTTTTCCATCTCTCTTCCCCCTGAAGCCTCTGTGGGGTTGGCCACATAGAGGAGGGGGCCCACCAAAATTCAAGGATAAATACAATGGAAAGGTATGGCGGTGTTTCCATATGTTGTTTGTTTGGTTGTTCTTTTTAAAATAAGCTTGGCCAGTTTTATTAAAGGAAAACATTGCAGGATTTCTTTTTCACTGCCATGCCTTTCCCTGGTGGTGTTGGGGTTCCGCGTTGGGCTGCGATTCTCAGGGTCAGCAGTTGGAAACCACCAGCAGCTCCTCGGGAGAAAGACTGGGCTTTCTACTCCTGTCAACGTGACAACCTCAGAACCCCCAGGGAACCACGATGAGTCAGGGGGGACTCAATGGCAGGGAGTTTCATGTTTTTGAGCTTGCTTCTCACGGTAGCACCTGACTGGATAATAGGCAACCCCCTATGATGCCTAACGTTGGACTGGACAGTTTGGGCCCACAGGGGCAGTTGTACAGTCTGTGAGGTGGGCCTCACTCAATGGCAGCGAGTGTAGGGGGGTTGGGGTCATATCCGAAAACTCCTTCTTGTCAGTTTCAAGGCGTGGCCCTCTCAACAGGGCCTCACACTGACCAATCCCTTTAGTGGCCTTCACTGATACTGTCTATGGCATAGTGACCCATCCCAGCAGGATGCATAGAGAAGGGGAAAAGTACCTTCCCGGGGATTAGAAGAATTTTCCTCAAGCTGTTTTTCCAAAGAACCAAGGCAAATGGCCATATAGAGGGACTCATTTCACCGCATGACCAAAGACCTAGAAAACCCCTAAGTGGAAAAATATATCAGCCTGTCCTTGTGTGCCTGCTTGTTGCTCAGCCTGATGTCTTCTAGCTTCACCATGTGAACACACCGTTGTCTGATGCCCCACATTCTGTTTCCCCAGCGCCATGGGAATGGACACGGGGGTGGGGGGGCAGTGGGAAAAGTGCCGCGATGAGTAGCAGTGGCCAGGTTTCTGCTGGGGCCCCTGCCTTTGCACCCCTGGGCTAGACGTTGAGGAGTGGGGCAGCTAGGCCCACAGTGGCTCTGTGTTCAGCGTTTGGATCCCCTGCCAACCACTTTCCACAGTAGCTGCCCCACGTTTCCAACTTCTCGGCAGCCTCACCAGTAGCTGTTCTTGTCTCACTTGGGGTGTTTGGGTTTGTTTTCATCATAGGGGAAAAATTCTTTCTAACCGGGCTTTTTGTTTGTAACCACAAAGGCAGAATCTTCCAGATGGAGTGGGCTCTGAGACAGGCCCTGTTGCACGTGGCCCTGGCTGGCTGCTTTTGCGTGGCCACCATCTATATGGGTGTCTTCCAGGATGTCTTTGTCCAAGTGGGCTATGAGTGCTACGCGGAGGCCCCCGTGGCCAGCCTCCCTGCCTTCCTAACCATGCCCTTCAACTCGCTCATCAACGTGGCCTACATGCTCCTGGGGTGGCACTGGCTGCGCAGAGACGGAGGCCCACTGAGGTGCTCGGCAGAGGCGCCAAGGGCCCGTTACCTGCAGGCAGTCTTTGCGGCCATGGCTCTCCTCTATGGCCCTGTGCAGTGGCTGAGGATTGGGACACAAGCCCACCCTGCCGCGGTGCTTGACCAATGGCTCACCTTGCCCATATTTGCCTGGCTGGTGGTCTGGTGCCTCTACCTGGACAAGGGCTGGAAGCCCTGGCTGTTCTTCGCTACCGAATGCCTCTCCCTCAGCAGCTACGGCCTGGCCCTGCTGCACCCCTGGGGGTTTGAAGTCGCCCTGGGTGTACACATCCTGGTCGCAGTGGTGCAAGCCCTGCAGGCCCAGGCTCGGAGTGGCAATGCCACCACGCGTGCCTACCTGATTCTGGGGTTCCTCTCCTGCCTGGGTTTTGTGGTCCTCAAGCTGTGGGACCACCAGCTTGCACAGTGGCGTCTCTTCCAGCGGTTGACAGGCCACTTCTGGTCCAAAGTCTGTGACGTCCTTCAGTTCCACTTTGCCTTTTTGTTCCTGACGACTTTAAACCGTCACCAGAGCTTCCCTGCGGAGGAGAAGAAGCGTAAGCTGTAGAAAGAAGCACCTGACAACCAATGACACCCCCCTCCAACATCTGTTCCAGTGACTGTCATTCACTTTCAAAGAGCTCAAGCAAACGGGGCCAAGGTAAAGCCTCGTGTTTGTACTGCTCTTGTCAAGTGTCTACCTTGTCAAACTTGCCAAAATAAAGTGTGGAGTTGGGGTAATGATGACTCCTAGAATTTCGTCCTTCTTGAGTCTAGGCAGGAGAGAGAAAGGGCTGGGTGGCAGGCAGACGGGGAGGGGGGGAGGGGGGGGGCTAGTGAGTACCCCGAGAGGTGAATGACTCAGGGCTGCCCAGCTGCCGGGACCTGTGTGTGAACTGCAGCCACGTCATGTGAACCAACAGCTAACCCTGAGTCACAGCAACCCTCTCAGTCAGAGTAGCCCTGCCCAGCAGAGTGTCCGATGAGTTCAAGCGACCGACCTTTCAATTTGCAGGCAAATGCTTGAGCACTGCACCACCAGAGCACCTGGAAGCAACTCAAGAGTCCAAACAGAGCTGCCTTCTGGCCTAGAATCACCGAGTGGCCATAGCCTTGGATCCACTGCATCCCTGTGACCCCATTCCCAGGGCCTGGCAACCCATCACCTCCTGCCTGAAGGCCTCACTCACCCACCCCTGGGGGCAGGACAGCCTGGGGGGTGGGGGGTACAAGTTCTGTTTCAAAGCCATGGGCCTGGAAAAAGGAAACCGGCTGGAGGTCCCCAGAGGCCTGCCCTAACAGGGACCTGGGGGTACTAGGATCGTTGGGGTGGCTCTTCTACTGACTGAGTGAGAACCCCCCTCACCGCCGCTGCCACCCAGTGCGGTGGCCTCACTTTCAGGGAGAGACCCTGATCTCCTTCCCTCACCAGGGACGCTTTAATGTTGATCGAATAATATAACCCGTGACCCTTAGGGTTTTGTGTCCCTGTAGGAAACAGGTGGCACTCTCTGGTGATCGGGATTTGGGCGGAATGTTAAGAGGAACCAGCACACAGGGTAGAGTGGATTCGGCAGGGACCCTTGAAGATAGGGGAACCACTCCCACAATCCCCTCTGCTCTTAAGGGTGCCAGAGAGCGGGAGAGAGAGCTAGCACAAGGGCACCCCGAGTATAGTGGGAGATGGACTTCCAGGACCTCAAGGCTCCCTATTGGTCAGAAAGTGCCTCTGGAGTTCTCAGCTACTGGATGGCCTCCATCTGTCTTGTTTTACAAACACTTCTTTCTATTGTGGTAAAAATCTGCCTAAGAAAACACTGACCACCAGGAACAAACTCAGTGCCCCTGAGCTGCTGGCTGCTACCGCAGACCCCCCACAAGCAGGTGGCTGGAGGGTCAGCTTCAAAGGCAGCTTTCTCGTGACCGGATCCTTGGAGGTCTCCATGGGGATTGGCTTCTCTCACCTCATGTCTCCCCTCTCTGCTCACTTATTTAAGTTTTTCATGTCTCACAAGAGATGAGCTCAAAACAGACCCTACAGGAGTCAAACCCTCACAAAGCCCCCTCAACAGTAGGCCCCTGGCCCGTGCCCACTCAGTCACTCCCAGTCAGGTTTGGTGGCTGGTGGCTTGTTCAGCTTGTGTCCAAGCGAGGGGCGTCTTCAGGGCTGTGGACTCATCATTGCTGGGGACCTGTTGGGTGTCTTCACCTGTTCCTTATTGGGTTTTTAAAAATTAAGGTGAGGCTCATAAAACAAAAAAAACTAGACATTTTAAAGTCGACCTTGTTCTAGAACAGCAGTTCTCAACCTGTGGGTCTCGACCCCTTTAGGGGTCAAGCGACCTCTCACAGGGGTCGCCTAAGACCATCAGAAAACCCATATTTCCGATGGTCTGAGGAACCCAGACCCTGCTCCTCTATCCGTCTCCAGGCAGGTCCACCCACATGCAGATACACCTGCATACAAGTAGCCGGCATGAAGACCATGCTACACGCTTCAAGACAAAATTTCACTTATTTGTTATTAAAAAGAAATGTTTCACAATATATTACATATTGTTTTGTGATTCATCACTACGCTTTAATTATATGCAATTTGTAACAATGAAAATACATCCTGCATCTCAGATATTTACCTGACAATTCATAACAGTAGCACAATTACAGTGATGAAGTAGCAACGAAAATAATTTTATGGCTGGAGGGTTACCACAACATGAGGAACTGTATTTACAGGGTCGCAGCATTAGGAAGGTTGAGAACCACTGTTCTAGAACATGTCCCTGACCCATAAGGAAACCCTGTGTCCCTAAGCAGTCATTCCCCATCCCCCCCCTGCCAATCCCCCCTTGGGTCACAGCCTGGCTTTCTGTCTCTATGGCTTTGCTTGACTGGACCACACCCACCCCACCCCACCCTGTGCCTGCAGGACTCAAGACAATAGGTGGTCTTTGGTGTCTGGCTTATCTGTCTATCTCCTCCGGAGCCCAGTCTCCCTGACTTTAGTGGCCTTGCAAAGGGCTTACTGGGCCATCAGACTGTGGGGCAGGCCACTTCAAGTATCGCTCTAGGTTGCAAAGCTGGGAGGGAGCCTAGAAATGCCCCAGCTGCTGACGATCCACTTTGATTACAAATCCCTATCAATGAACCCCACTTGATCGGTAGAAGACAAACGTCAGGCAGACAGCAGGGCCCTGGGTAGCCTGCTGGGCCCGCGTGGGTGCCGGGTTGCCTTACAGAAAGGAAAAGCCCAAAGCCGGTGGGCTCCAGGAACAAAGGAGGGTGTGTTTCTAGGCCCTTGCTGCAGGCTGCTTCAGGGAGGTACAGCTAGCAAGGCTGCCTCCCCCGCCATCGTATCACCCTGAGCAAGATTTGTAGCAATCGGAACTGCTCTTGGGGCCTGGCCAGCAGCGTGATTCGAGCCTCCAGCGGCGGTCCGGGACTTGCCGCCAGCAGCGCTGGCCCAGCTCACCTAGGGGTCGCACCAGCAGGTCCTGCCCCCCACTTTCACATTGCCTTACCCTTTGATCTTTGCTCTCCTTCTCACTTCGGAAACACTGGCTTCTGCTTTCCTTCTGCTGCTTCTTTCTTGCCCTCCCAGGCGCACACACAACACACACACACACACACACACACATTCCCCGCCAACCCCTCACTGCTACCAGGGCATGTACCCCCATCTCGGGCCTCTTCCTTTGCGAGAAACAGAGCCTCCTTCCCACCCACCTGCCCCCAGTTAGCGCCCCACCACCATCACCAGGCCCGGCCTGGCCAGCTCCTCCTGCACTCTCCCGTGGTGCCCAGTGCCTGAAACAACATCCCCGCCAGGGCTGTGTCCCCGGCTGCAAAGCAAACTCACAGCCACGGAGTCCATGCTGACCCATAGTGACCTGCAGGGAGGCTCCGAGCCTGTAACTGACTCTGGGGGTAGGGGGTGGGGGCGTGGAGAGCGACTACTAAACAGAACCAGGTTGCTCGGGTGAATGGCTTGCTCTGTGGAGGCTCCAGTAGCAAACATCGCGGCAGTGGAAACCCAAGAGCAGGACCCCCAAGAGCAGGACCCCCATGGCCACTGCTTACCTCCGTGGACTTGGAGCTCACTCAGCAGCTCTGACCTCAGTTTCCACAGGAGGAACCCTTCACCTAGGAGCCCTGGGAGTGTCGTGGGTACACACACTCTCTCTGCTTCACATTCCTGTTGACAAACCAGATGGAGCTATGCTGATGGGAGCCAGAGCCCTGGAGCTGGAGGAGACACATGGAGACCCACACCAGCGCTGAGATACTTCTACCACCATTGGATCCACTAGACTTTCCACCCACCGGCCTGTGATCTTCCTGCATTCAGCATCATTGCATGTGTTGCGAGTCTGAAGAGGAATTTATAGACTGATATCTGACATATGAGCTAACAGCAGACTGATGGACTTGATCTGGACTGGGTCAGGATGTTTTCTAATTATATACAATTAGGCTTTGATATAAAACTCGCTCTTACACACATATGAGTATCTCTGGATTTGCTTCTCGAATATACCCAGACTAACACAACGGCCAAACCATATCATAATAGAACTGTCAAGCCACTGAAAATCATGGCAGCCAAGAATGATGTATCACTTGCGCCCTCACAGCCAGTGCAACTCTCACCTTGTCCCTCGGCGTTCAGTACTGCCTGCCTGCTGTACCTTGGTCACATGCAAAATAGTTAGAGAGTTGATGTTTACCTCCTGCTGGCAGCGTCAGCCAGGGAGATGCTCACCCACTCACCTGCTGATGGACTGCTCTTGTGGAAAGTGTTGCAATAAACTTTACTGTCCAAGAACCCTGGCTCGCGAGTCTCTTCAGTGTGAACCCACAGGACAGTTGTTGGGTCAAAGTGGAACTCCAGGCTTAACTTGGGCAGAAACCCCCAAGCTCTTTCTCACGTGATTATGGCCGTTCTGGGGAGCACCAAGTGCCCTTGCCTTGGGGTTGTGGTTGGGAAATATATTTGTCACTTTCAGAAGCTCTCCTCAGCGTGACAGCAGCACCTGCACTTGGCTGGGTCACAGATCACATGGGGTCCTGGTGCCGGGTGGGAGCATCGGGCCTCACAAAGAGGGCGTTGCCAGCGTAGGCTGAGCTTTAAAAAAAATAATAATTCAATTATTTTGTTCACTGTGAATTAGGTGGGTGCCGGGGAGGGGGGCTTGCCCTACATTTCAGACCATGAAATCTGCATTCAACAGTTCAAGCCACTCATCAAGGTCCACTTCCCTTATTCTACCCCACCCCCACCCGGATTTCTCTTCTCCTTCTTGCGAACCTCCACCCTCCCATTCACCCAAGTTGCTTCAGCTTCCCTCCCTGGCCCTCCCTGCTTGGCCACCTCCATAGTCTGTTACCTTTGCTCTGGGCTTTTATCCTTAGAACAGTGGGCTCATTCAATGATAGCTGTCTTTGTGTGGGTAACTAACTTCACTCAGCATAATGGTTCCCAGATCCATCCGTGTTGTGAGGTGTTTTGTGGTCTCGTTGAGTCACTCTTCTACTGCTGGAGTCTGGGATGTTTCCAACTTCTTGCTATAGGGAGCGGTGTGGCAATGAACATGGGAGAGCGTACCTGTTCCTGCCATGACTCTTACTTCTTTAGGTATACATGCCCAGCGGAGGGATTGCTAGATCGTATGGAACGTCTGTTCCCAGTTGTTTAAGTCATATCGCTTTCCACAGTGGTGAAACATATGTACATATCCACCAGCAGCATTGGA